TAGAGAAGAAAAACAAGGGACTCAAATTAACCTTGTGTAAAAAAGGAGAGCAAAAAATGAAGAATTTGAAACTAGAAGATCAAAAGCAACAGATCATAGAAACTGATTACAGCAGCAACAGCTCTTCCAACAACAATATCATCCCAATTAGGGTTTGTTCTGATTGTAACACTACTAAAACCCCTCTTTGGAGAAGTGGTCCTAAAGGCCCTAAGGTAATTTATTAATCTTTTTCTAATATGTTTTACTTGAGTCGAGCATCTATCGGAAACAGTCTTTCTATCCTTACAACATAGGAATAAGGTTGCATACACAGTGCTAGCCTTTTCAGACCACTCTTGTAAGATTATATTGAATATGTTATTGTTGTTTAATTCATATATGAGTCAAATGAAGTATTCATACCTTTTTTCTGATATGTTTTACTTGAGCCGAGGGTCTATCAGTAATAATCTTTTTACCTTCCCATAGTAAGAATAAAATTACATACACAACACCCTCCCCAGATCCCCACTTGTGGGATTACACTAATTAAGGGTATATAGTTGTTGTTGTAACTTATATATACTGATCAATTATTGCGGAACTAGGTGTTCTAACAAGAGAGTTAAGAAAAATACCAAATTAATTTAAAGATTTTGGGAATATTAAATTTGTGACCTCTCCAAAAATATTGTCATATTTATACCAAATTTCTAAAAAATACATTACTTTAAAGGATTCAGTATATACATATGGATATATTTTTAAGAGTCTTAACAACATAAATTAAAAATGCGATTTACTATGCATTTTTTGGATTACCAATAAGATAACTATAGACAGTTACCTATTGGATAGGTCATTTTCAACACAGTGTGTGGAAAAAGTAAACACTCATGTCATGAGTACACAAAAACTAGTCTCACTTAGTACTTTTGACTAGAACTTCTTAGTACATATATAAAACTAATTAATTTCAAACTCAATAAGCTACATTTCTGAAATTTAATCAGTATTTAAAATTCTAAATCTGCTTCTGACTCGCTTATGCCTTCTTCTTTTTTTGGTACAGTCTCTTTGTAACGCATGTGGAATTCGACAAAGAAAAGCAAGGCGAGCAGCAGCGGCAGCAGCAGCAGCAACAAATAATGGGACAAATTTCACTAGTACTGAAACAACAACAACAATGAAGATAAAGGTACAACAACAAAAGCACAAGATAACAAAAGTGAATACCAATCATGTTGTACCCTTCAAGAAAAGGTGTAAATTTCTAAGTAACACTACTACTACTCCTGCACCTGTACCTGCACCTGCTCCTCGTGTTGGTTCATCATCATCATCATCGTCTTATAATAATAACAACGATGTGCAACAAAAGAAGAACCTTTGTTTCGAGGATTTCTTTGTGAATTTGAGCAATAATTTGGCAATCCATCGCGTTTTTCCACAGGATGAGAAGGAAGCGGCAATTTTGTTAATGGCATTATCTAGTGGCCTTGTTCATGGTTAATGTCATTATAAAATTTTCTTGAGTATCCATTATTAGTTTAAATTATTAATTAGATGGAGTAGCATCAAATTAGTTGTGTGAAATTGAGCTAGATTAATACTAGTGAGAGTGAGAGTTGTTATAAGTCAAGCTACAAAATTTTTAATAATTAGTACTTTAATATTAGCTAGCTAGGAGTTATAATAAGTTTGATATGTGTGTTGGTCATTGATCTTTTGTATGCTCAATGATAGTTTTTGAACAAGGTGACAATCAAGAATATTTTGGTCACTTGTTCATCTATTATAGCCTTGTGTGATGATTTTGAAGTTTATTGAAACAATATTTTATCCAAAATTGTTTTAAAATTTCAAGTTGTTATAGAGAATACATTTTTATTTAAATTAATTATCCTTTCTGTCGTATTGTATATATATGTAACAATATTTAATTGACACGAAATTGAAGAAGAAAAAAAAGGCGAAATAAATAGCAGCTTTAGTCATGTTGTTTATTGCGAAATTCTGATTTTAATCTTTCATGTGATATTTGACTTAACACAAATTTAATTTTCAGTTAACAAAAATGTGTATTTTTTATTCTTTTATGTAGGAAATATATTATATATTTAGACGATTTTTAGAACTATATTATCCTTAAATATTGAGTAACAATACAATTTTCAAATCACACATGAGAAGTTAAGTGATATTGGTAGTTTGGTAATTTTTGTGAAGAATCAATCGATCACAAGCAAAATGATTAAAAGTGCATCACTTTTATTAATTGAAAGTTCAATGTACTTACTCAAATATCACAAGGACCAAATATAAGTACCAACAATCAAAGAACTAAAGGTACGTGCTATTACATATAAGACTTTTGAAATTCGTAATTTAAAATAAGCCATCTTCATTTGAGTGATTATAAATAGTTAATTATATGATAAGTTAAAGTTAAATAATTTTCAAATGTAGAATTATTCCATTCGTTCAGAAAGAGACTAATTAACAAAAAGTGTGTCACAAAAAATACAGCACACATAGTATATTTTTATGATGTCTCCTTAATTATGTGTGATCGCCAAGCATATTAAAATTCTTATCCGTAATGAGTGAGAATATATATGTTTACTCTGATATCATATTGTTAAATAATATAATTTCTTATTTGAGTAAGAAAAATCAATGAGTACAATGATCAACTTGACAAAAATATGTGGATGCTTAGGTTGGGTATATATATATATATATATGCAAAAAGAGTAACTATTAGGGTTTGGGACCATTTTTTACAAAAGAAAACAAATTAGGCTTTTAACGAAAAACATAAAGTGATACTTTACACTGTACATGGCTGGCATGAATGGCTATATATGAATCATAATTCTGAATTTTATTTTATTTTTCATTTATAAACAGTAGCTCTTGGTGTTTGCAGAAGTCATTTTACAGTAAGAAAGTTACTATGTATAGTCAATTTTTTTTTATAATAATGTTATTTATTTGATAACTTTAATTTTTTATTGTTATAACAAAATGTTCTTAGAGATAATATATAATATAACATAATAAGAAAATTGATTTCAAAGAAAACCTGATTGTTATAGTTAAATTATTATAAAAGATGATTGTTATACAGAGGTCTGACTATACTTATATATGAAAAATATTTCTCCTGTTCAATTTATTTGTTTTATTCTTTTTAGTCTATTTAAAAAAGAATTGGAATGTCTCTTTTCTTTTTTGACAATTACTTAATTTCAACTTTCTACATAATATGTTTAAGATCACAAGATTAAAAGATATTTTGGTAAATTCTACGTATCTCAAGTATGAAGTCACAAGATTCAAAAATCTTCTTTTACTTTCTTGAACTTCATGTAAAGTCAAAATCAGATAAACAAATTAAAACGGAGGGAGCAAGAGAAAGCAAACAGAAAAACAAAATTATTATTCTCACTCCATTTTAATTGGAGTCCGGAGCCTAAAGGGCAAAAAATATTGTCAAAAATTCCAAAAAGGCACATCACTTTTGGAATTTTTGACAATTTTTTTTGCCCTTTAGGCTCCGGACTCATTTTAATTGACCAATGACAACAACATACCTATCATGATGTTAAGGTTTGAGTAGGATAGAGCATATGCGGATTTTACCCCTAGGTAACTCCATTTGTGTGAGTTCGTTCAAATTGTCGGTCTCAAGTTCGAGTAAAGGAGGAAGGTTGCAGATGGTCAATCAGATACAACCTCTCTACCTTATAAAAGTAAGATTGCGTATATTTTATCCTTCATAAACCTCGTATATAGGATTATACTAAATTTATTATTGTTGTCATTATTGTATTACTATAAAAATTTCTCGTTAAAAACAAAAGATAAATTACATTAAGTGATTTCTAAGTTTAGCAAATTATTATTTTTAAATGATATAAGTAAAGTATTATCACATAAACTGAAATCGAAGAAATATATAATATCTAATTTTCTTTTTTTTTCTACTGTCAACTCACCCTCATCTTACGGTCCCCTACGACCACACCATAGGAAAAAAAACGCAAAGAAGTTTAAACGTTAACGGAATGTTACAAACACATACGTCTAACATTTCTTTATTATTTTTATAGACGGATTCAGAATTTAAATTTCCTCGATTTTATATTTGATGATTTTATTAGTACATGAATTCATTATGCTTATCTTTTAGATTCAACATCAATCTATGCTTCAACCTTGGATCAATTGTTGGAGAGAAAAATTATATGAAATCACTGAAAAATCTAAATAAACTTTGTAACGTTACGAAAAATTCTAGAACATTATAATTTGTAGCTATATATTCTTGAATTGGACGAATTATCCGAAGAGGATTTGACTATATACATATCGCTAAGGTAATTTTTGCTTCTAGTCTTTAATTTCTCGTCTATATTGCTTAAATAAACATAGATATTTTTTCCTATCTCGTAAATTTTTACTATAAAATTTTAAGTGTCTATTTCTGTACACTCAAAGTTGAAGTGCATAAATAACTGATGAGGCCAAGTCAAAAGACATATTTTATATATATATTATGTTTTTTTTATAATAATAACATATTCATTAAGCAGTACACTCTTTATAAAATTACTCTCTATAACAATCATATATTATAACAACACCTAAATCAAATTTAAACATCCAATGACAAATACATATGTGACATTATAACAACACCTAAATAAAATCTAAACGTCTAATGACAAATATATATGTGACAATACCTCATTATAACATATATATGAAATTTTCAATCAAACAATGTCATTATAACGAGATTTGAGACAAATACATATGTGACATTATAACAACACCTTAATAAAATCTAAACGTCCAATGACAAATATATATGTGACAATACCTCATTATAACATATTATGAAATTTTCAGTCAAACAATGTCACTATAACGAGATTTGACTGTATCGTATTTTATTATTGTTAGCGTATTGGGCCATTTAAATGGAAGTTGGATGAAGCCCAAATTCATTCGAATTGATCCCAAATTCGACCCGGTTTCATCTGATTTCTGTACTGAATCCCTCACATCCTCACCAATGGGCCTTTTCTGAAGCTTTTTTCTTTTTGCCGGAATTCATCGTAGCTCCGTCGGAGGTGGTGGAAATCGCTGCTCTCAAGCTCATCGGAAAAGGTATATAACTCACTTCTTCTTATTTTGGCTCTGTTTGTTTGCTTAGTTGACCGATAGTTTTAGTAAGGGTAAGGGTTCCTCGTGTGATCGAGATTTTGTTCTTTCGCTTGTTGAATATGTATGTTTTTGAATATTGAAAGTGCATTCTGGACTGATTTCACAATCTTAATTTGCTACTATTCTCACTCTCTTGGCCTCCAGAGCTGTATTATGATTAGTCTGAACTGTTCTACTCGTCTTAGTTTATTTTCTGTTTGTTATGAATCTGCATTAATAATTAATGTTCGACGTCCTGCTATTCATTCTTTGTCTTAAGCTAAATTGTATGAATCAAGGTATATTTCGTGTTTTCATTACTCCTCATCTCGAATCTGTTCACTGGAATGTTGTCAAACTATTATCTGTGTATACCTACCTTACTCTATCTTCAAGCATCAGGCCCTCCGTTATTTGCTGTTGGTATCGCCTTTAGATAAGTGCAGGAGTCTCAAAATTGATTGACATGTTCTCGAGCTATGTTTAATATCGAAATGAAGTGTTATGTCCTGCTTTACCTTCCATGATTCTGTATATGTCTACTTATTCTCCAAAGTGGTAGTTTAGCTCTCTTTTAAGTGCTTTAAATTAGAATTTGTCCAATAGACATGTTTGGCCAGCTTATTATTTGATCTGAAGTATCTGGGGACTATTTGAGTTCAGGGGGTAGGTTTTTAACTCTGATCTGGATGTTTTAAGTTTTTTTTTTATGTCTTTGGGGATACTGATTTAGGTTTTCTGATGGTTTGACATACGTAGAATTTTGAGAACCTGATGATGAACATGAGATCAAGTTTGGTTTTAATCAAAATAGAGTCTATTGTCAAAGTGTTGCCTCCCTGTTTGTAGTCATTTGTTGCGTTAGACTCCTAACCCCCCTATTTTGCTTCAAATTATAATATGTTATGCTCAAATAGTTACAGAAAGAAGGATATTCTAGTTAGTCTGTTTCGGTTTATTTCTCTTAGCTGAGTTTCCATTTGAAAAATTCATTTTCTGTTTTCCCTTAGTTCTTGTGTATGCTAATAGATGGAATTTGCTGATCCAAAAGTTATTTTCGTTTCCTTTATGTGTAGTTCCCTTGCTTCCTTGTCTCTTTATTCTCAATTAGTCTATTCTTGATTTTAGTTTCATAAGGGGAAGTCTAAGGTGAATTTGTCATTGTTTTGACTGTTGTGAATATGAGTTTGGCTGAAGTTCGTCTCGATGTTTTGCATTTGATAACTAATTAGTCATTCAGTTTCTGTATTTAATGTTTATTAGGGCTCACTTATTTTGTTCAAAGTTTGGCCCGAGATTTTTTCTTACCTAAATAGTGTATTTGCTAAGTTAAAAATGATCTTATATCACTGTTGCTTCATTAGGATACATGACATACCTCTCCTAGCATCTGATGTCTTTTGAAACTTGAAGCTTTTTTTCATGTTAAATTATAGTTGTCCTGTGTTTTCTTCCCATACCCCACTTGTGGGATTACTCTAGGCCTATCCCTTAATAAATCTTGTTTCTGTTTTCTGCCTATTGATAGCTACATCTTCCAATTAACCAAATATATTTCCTCTGTGCAGTTCAGCTGATAATTGAAGGATCTCGTGGACATGGCAACGTATTTATGGAGGAAATATGCAGATTATGTATACACAAAATGGGAAAAGACGCTCCTCTGGGATATGGTAGAACCATTTAGGAGACCAAAATCGTTTACTCCTCTTGTTACTATCTACGTATGTGCATTTTATACAGGGGTTATTGGAGCAGCCATCACTGAACAACTCTACAAGGTATAGTGGCTTTACATCCTTTTTTAAGCACTAACTGCTTGCCATTTCTTTTGACATATTTGTGGAGATAGCCGCGTTGTGAAGTTTTGTTTTAAAAGTTGAAAGCACCGATGGTTTCTTGGTTGGACGGGTATAGGCAAGATTATGAATGCCCAATTATAGATAGTTCTAGTGCAGGGTATATTGGAAATGGACCTTGCCTCCTCTCGTTTTTATACACGGTAAAGGGGCCATTCAAGTTACAATATAACTAGTTCCCTACCTCTTTGGTAATGTTTATCTGTAACATTACCTTAGAAAAAGTTACATGAGAAGTGTTACTTCAAAGCATGAGAGTTCCACACATCATTCTTAAGTTCCTCACCCTCCAAATATGATATACTGCAGCTGCAAGAGTCAGTCTGCGTACTTCAGCTCTTGAACTTCTTTCATTTGCATAGCTAAGGACTAAGGTACCATTGTAGTTCATCTTCCCAGTGTCTTGTGTTCCCGCTGATACCTTGCCATTTGAGAAGCTTTTGCCAGATGTGGGCAGATATCATACAATCAAAACAAATGTGAGCGACTTTCATTGTCTTGATCATATAATGGAAATTTATAGTCACTCCCCATTTAAACAGTTTATCTCTCCAATCTAAGGATAATGATCCATCTAGGCAATCCTAGGTTGTTGCATATTAACTCTGTCGGTTCAACTCTCTGCAAAACCTCCCCTAATCGTCAGGTGCTTAGTTGAAAACCTTGTACCTTTGACATCAGAAAAACAGCTTCATTTTTTTAAATTTTTTCTTTTTTACACAAAGAAAAAGATGTTCATTCCAAACTAATGTTAATTAAGTTACCAACCATGAACAAAAAGGTGGTTGTCTCTGCCATTGGTAACTTGAGTATGAACACTTCCATTGGACTAATTGAAGTATTCTGTATGAATTCTTGGCTAAATAACTGTACATAACATCTCCAACAGTACAAGAAAAAAGGGAAGAAAAGCCTAGCAATCAACTTCCTGTACTATAAATATATTAGTCCAGAAATATACTCTCCATTAAATTACTCAGCAGCTAAGAAACAAGGAGACACATAAAACTTAGCTCTCCGAGCCCTTTGCTGCCTTTTTGTCACCCCCAGCCTTTCAAAAAGCTGTCTGTGAACCCATGGTTGTTATCCAAAGTATGCTGCAGTAGGAGTGAGCACATTGTTGTCGCTCCATCATTGGACCGTCTCCTACCTCTGGAATTCGTCCTACTCGGAGTTTTTTTCCATGGACCGGATTTTGAAGCAACATTTGTTTCATTTACTTGATGCTAAAGAGATTCCACTGCATGTAAGACATCTGTTTGAAGGTCCTTCTGATCCTTTGTCCTCATTGCTTGACCCCTCCTTGGCTGATTACACACAATACCTTTTTCCTTCTTTTTTGCAACCTTAAAAGTAACTAAGACTATTATCTATGTGCTCCTTTCTCAGATTAAGCTTCATCCGACTGGAAGCAGTCCTTTCTGAAAAAAACAGCTTCGTTTAAGTATTTGCTAGCTTAGGAGTATCAACAATAAAATTCCTATTTGATTACTTAATAATTCCCAAATGTATTATTAACAGTTTCTAATCATAAACTAGATTATTAATTAATTCAATGGGTTCTTCTACAGCTATAAATACAATGTAAAAATCAAGTTAGCTACTTAATTTCTTGACGTATGTATCCAATGAATTGGAAGAAGTACATTGTTTGTTCTTTCTGTCTGAAAAGATCAAAGCAGTCAAAATAAGAGGTTTATATGAATACATCTATTTTAGCTACTCACATTACTTCTGTTGTTTGCTCCTCTCTCTGATCTTATTCTTGACTTTTTGCTATTTATACGTTATATATTTGCTCAACATAAAGACTTCCCCTTGTGTATTAAGAATGATATTCTTTTTTCCAGCCTTAAGTTTACTGCCAATTCCAAATTCTTGTCTTTTAGTATAAGAGTTTTTTTTTTACCATAATGACAGGAGAAATACTGGGAAGAACACCCTGGGCAAGAAGTGCCTCTGATGAAACCAATGTTTTATGGTGGCCCTTGGAGAGTAATGAGAGGTGACGTTCCTCCTATGGGGAAGTTCGATCTCTGAGCTGCAGTCAGTTAGATAGTTATTAGGCATCCAACATAAGCTCTAGGAGAAGGAAAACTATCACAATGGCAAAGGTACTACAACACGCGATGTGTGATAGATACACATGAGTTCAACTCTTGCCAGGGAACCAAGTCTATTAAGTAGAGAGGAGTGGAAGGGCAAATCCATTATCCACCAATTCCGGAACTGGTACGTAACAAAAGAAAGGTACCATTTTTCTACAGTTGTTGTGCATTTATATTTGAACTATCCTCTCTTGTAAAGATTATAATATAGGTTTCCAAATTTTATCGATACCTATTTTGGTCCTTCCCTGTATTTCTCCCGTCTTCTTATTTTTAATTGGTATTTTTCATTTCTGGTTTTATGTTTGTATTTGTATAAAATATCAAAAGAAATTTATTTTCACGGCTGGATTTCCCAGAATGTATATAGTTTGATGCATAAAAAAACCAAAAGCATGAAGTTCACAATGTTTTTGTCCATCCCCCAAAGATAGAGGGTAAGATCTGTGTACATCCTTCCCTCTCCAGACCCCGCTTGTGGGTGTGGTGTTGTTGTTGTTGATTGATAGGTTTGTCCAAGGGACAAATAGTACTTTATTAGAGTACTTTCTCTTTACAATTATTCTTGCAGATTATTGAAATGGCCTAACCACAGTGGGACAATTCCTAACAACTTTAATGAAGCAACTCGAGGGTGCATTGAACTAGACATGTCAAGTGGGTCGGGTGGGATTAGACCTGACCCGGTCCTTTAAGGCTTCAGTCCATGAATTCCCGGGACAGTCGGGAAAGACTCAGCTTAAGGAGCTTGGTTGGGAGTTGGGCCATTTTGAAACTTGGAATGAAAGACACAGGCCCATTAAGCAAATTTGTTGGGCCTAGTGAAGTAATGTTTAAGTGGGCTAGGTTTTGTTTGTCTTGTTATTTAAACTTGCAAATACTTTAAATAATTAACTAGAAATCACATCTAATTACTCCTTATGTGTTAAAAGTTGTGAGGCCCATGACGGAGGATGGGTCAATGAGAAGGACTAACAGGTTGTAACAATGTATGATATCTTAGATGAATTCCACATCGGAAAGAGAGGAAAGTTATGAGCTTTATAATCCATAGCATAAGTGTACACGGTATACACATTTTTGGGCTCAATGATGACGTAGTCCAAGAGATGAGATATATTGATGAGCTGAAGTGAACAATATGTACCATGGGCTTAAAGCTGTGACAAGGGCCTTCTTTAATGTTAGAACTCAATGCTTAATGAAAAACCGTCACATAAATTGAAACGGAGAGAATGTACATGGTATTAAATGTTGAGACGTGGTCTAGTTTGGCTTGTTCATATTTCTCATTCTATACAATTTGTAATCTTTTCCATAGTACTATCCAAAACTAGTCATCCATATGTTTTTTCATATACAAGACAGGACACAATAATACTGATACAACTTACTCTGCTAACAATGGTTTCCAAATGAGGAATTGACATGTCTAAGCTAAAAGCACAGTGGTCCAACAAGACAGTGTATGGTTTTTGCAAGAGGGGACCCAAGTAGTGTTCTCATGCTGTGTGTATAGTATGGGTATATCTGTTATTTTTTGGACTTATGTAACTATCAATGAATTGGGTGAAAATTAGGGTTTAATTTTTGGTAGAGAAAAAGACGTTAAGTGAAGTTGGAAGAGAATCATGAGATTTTTAGATTTAAGTTTCAATGAAGGCAAAAAGACACATGTGATTTCTTCCTTTTTACCTGATGTACTTATGTTGATGGGAAGTAGCAACTACCTATTGGTATAACCAAGGTTGGACTGACTCGAAAACCACCGTCATAAAGAAAAGAGTTTAAAGAAAACATGATAATGTGTGAGTTTATATCTTAACACAATCCACGGGTCCTAAAGACCAAAACACACCTGGTACCTGTTGTTGATGTGAGGTAACATGTATCTCGTGGATTTAGTCGAGGCACGAAAATTGGCTCAGACACCACAATCATTAAAAAAAAAACAATTCCCAACCCTATGCCTTTAATGTTAGGATGTGGGGTGGGGTGGGTAGGGTAGGGGTAGGAGTGGGGGTAGGGTATGTGGGCTCTATAGAAAGTTTCTAGTTTCCTCTATGGTCCTGCTCTATTAATGATCCAAAATCACAAGTGACAAAAAGGATGCTTACAATTGTCTCAATGAAGATAGAAGAAAAACCAGTGGAAAATAATTTGCTTTGTCTTGGAATATCACCATATGTATATATTACTATTACCAAGAATTATCAATTATACATTATACAACCAGAGGAAATTCCAAGTATGAAAATGAAGTTACTATACATATGGGTTATTGGATATTTGAACACTAATTGACCAAACTAAAAGAAGAAATTAGATACTCCCTCCGTTTCAATCTGTTTGACTTGATTCAGAGTACAAGTCGAGGGTTTAGATAAGGGTAAGGTCTGCGTATATTTCACCATCCAAATATTCCATTTACCAATAACAAAAACCACATTGGAGTTGTTGATTTGGAGTACATTAATAAAGGGTGACAAGAAGGACCAATGAGTACTGTGTATTTCTTGACAACTCATTGCTAGTGATATATATTCCTTCCATCTCAGTTTATATAGTATTCTTTTTCTTTATAATAATTTTGAAAACAATGTTATACTTTTTTATTTAGAAATAATTTAACTGTAAACTTCTTATTTTAACTGTGATGAGATAATTTTTAGTCACATTTAAGATTTATTTTAAATGACAAGTTTCAAAAATCTTGAATTATGAGTTTATCACATTCAAATCCTAACAACAACAAAAAAAAGATAGGATATTTCTTTTCATTTGATTGAGCGGATAAAGTCATTCAATACCTGTGTTAGCTGATGGTGAGAGGGGAGGGGGGGTTGTTTGTAGGTATCTTTGAAATAGTTAAAGTGTACATAAACTATCAAATATTTCGGTTATGAAAAATATTTTTTCTTAATAACATTTATATTCAATCAAACAATATCATATAAATTAGTAATATTTATCCCAATATTCTTTGTATTTTTTTTTCTAAAATCACTATCTCTATAAAGTAAATGTAGGACCAGCTGACAATTGCCAGGTAAATATTTAAGTTGACACAAGATTTTATAGCAAATTCTAAAAGATACCCTCACTCCACCCTTAGTCCCCCACTAAGAAAATGACAAAATATAAAGATAAGTGTGTTATATGTGTATTGAGAATGTTAGGTTCTTGTTGATAATGTTTTCTAAAAGAGTTAAAAAGGATAAAAAAAAATACATCTAAATCTTTTTTATCTTATCAGGTTTCATACATAAATTATTGAGAGTATAAGTTTTCTATCTGAATTATCACTCAATAGTTAGCAAAAAACATTTAGACGTTGACTAGATTAAATATTTGTCTAAAAATGCTTTTAGGAGCATTGTCCATAATATTTTTTGTCCACCTAATATATATAATGATTCTTTAATTTTTTTAAAATATATTTTAGTTGACTTCTTTAAAACCCTAAACTCTACCTTTTCAAGTCGGAGATATCGATGTCACGAGAAAGATGAGACCATAGCTAAGAAGGTGGAGAAGAAGATAATGGATGTCACGGTTGGAACAAATTAATTTATACAATAATACTTTTAACTTTTAATCTAATATTAATCTACTTAGATTTGCCACAGTTGAATTATTTCCACGTGGAGTCTCACATGACAAAATTTTCAAACAAAAGAGAGAGTGTACACACATCAAAAAAATTGGTTGAGGTGTGTTTCACTAACTATTGGGTGATAGTTTGGTAGAACACTCACTCTCAATAGTTTAGGTATGAAACTCGGTAAAGTGGGATGGTTTAAACATATTTTTGACCCTTAAGCTCTTTCTAAAATTTTGATCAATCGAATATTAGAAAATTAAAAATATATCTTCACATCGAGCATACCCTTAGAGGTTAATAGATTTTAGTGATTGTTAGTTCACTCATTCGTGTGCATACAACAATTTTTCTATCTTCATGAAGTAGGATTAAGGTTACGTACATACACATGTATTTTGTGTTGAAATTACTAAGTCGTTTAATTAAACTCATTGTAAATATGTTATATCCGTCTCTCAATGGATGAAGATTTCTCTACAATTTTCCTTTTAATCTGTCCTAAAAAAAACTATCATCTTTTTATTATAAATAATTTAAATTGTCATTCTATTTATAATGAGATGACTTGTAGTCACATTAATATTTAAAACTTGTTTTAGACATTAACTTTTAAAAGTTTATCGTTCTTTCTTAAACTATATATTTGATCAATATGCGCTATATAAAATTTGAACAGATCAATAAAACAATACATATTATGCTCATGGGTGGATCAGAGTTAGGTAGACGCAAAGAGGTTCAAATTACACCTAAGATATATTAAGGTTAAAATTATGTTGTAATATATTGATAGTAGATGTGGAATCTTTCTAACGTCTTCTTCATATATTTATGTTTTCATGATTTAATTTTTAAGTAAATTTTTTGGCTCTACCACGAATTTATATAATTTTCAAAGAAGCAAGGAAATAAGTGTGTATAGAGAGAGCGCAAACACAAACTTTATTCAAAACTCTATAGTTCAATCTATTTGTCATACAACTCAAGAAGATAACCCGAACTGAAGCTCAAAGTTGATCTAATTGATCTTCTTCAATAATTCAGAACTTTCAAATTTTGAATACGCCTCGGATTACGATGAGCTAGCTAGGTTGAACAACCGACAAGTCTTTGAATATGGTTCATATGTTTATTTTCACTAACTAGTTAAAATACTCAAGTTCAAAGGAGACAAATATGATTCATCAAAAAAAAAAAAAAAATATGATTCATCGTCCAAAATTTTCTAAAGTTATTATAGTGGTCCATTGTCAAGTAATGTCAAATTACTTGTCTCTATTTTTAGGTGTATATATATGAATGAAGGTACAATTATTTATTGATTCCAATTTAAACACGTTTCAAGAATGTAGTTTTCATTTTATCAACTCTTCAAATATTTGTGGACAGAATTATTCGACGATAGTAGAAGATCTATCTAAAATAATTACATCATACTTTATCTTTCTCAATTTTTATTTGTGGAATTATATTGAATACCTTATTATTGTTGTAGAATTATTCGACCATGAAAGATAATAAAAACTTCATAAAATTAATCGAGATGCAAACAAATTAATCAAAATATCGTGATTATTAAATAAGATTTTTTTTTCTTTTGGTGTTTCTCTAGTTCTTTTGTCCTATTAAATTTGGAGTAATAGTGGTGATGGACCCTTTTTGTAGGTAAAAGTTAACCCCAAAAAATCCAAATATATCTTGGAGATATCACATAATAGCAGACTTGAAAAGTATGAAATGCTAGCTGTTTTAACATATATATATCTTTTAAAAAATAAAAAAAATAGTTAGTCATTTAATATTCTAAATCTACTGGCTTTAGTTGGAAACGATTACTAATTTTTATCTTGAATTCCTAAAGCGGCACTTATTTATTGGAATAATATATTTTTTCTAATTAAAGCTGACTACTCTTTTTTTGAGATAGAGGAAATATTAGGAAAGAAATCTTCATGAAGTACTTTGTTCTAATTTATGTTGCTCGAATTCTTCAAAACATTGAGGAATGTGTATCGGATCCTTCAAAAATAGTGTATTTATAAAAGATCTGACATGAATGCGGTAATATTTTTGAAGAGTCAGAACAAGCTAGATTCTAATTAGCAAAGGATTGAAGTTGATGGAGAATAGAAGTGAATACTATATTATAAGTGGATTTATAATATTGTAATTTTTTTTTTACCTTGGAAAAAAAGAAAAGAAGAAACAATATACAGTGGTGCTAATTAATTAATCACTTAAAAACTCTAATAATAAAGTCACTTTTAACTAAACAAGGACTTTAATTAGTACAAGTTAGGTAACTCTAATTGGTCCAATATTCATGAAAGTAGTTTTGGAGGATGATGAATTATTTTTTTCCACAATATTATTTCTTGGAGATGAAAGACTTAGCTCCAAATCAAGAGTTCCATTTGAAGAAATGGACTTATTTGGAACTTTATTGTGATGAGAATTTTGTGATCCATAACTCCAAATAGAATTTTCACACTTTTCTCCAAATGAATTTAGATCTAATGGAGATGATCTTGTAATTTCTTGACCATCTTCTTGGCAATTATGACCAAAATCTACATATTTGTTGTTGCTCCTTGCCTATATCATAATAACAAAAAAGAGTTAGTAATTAATTGTATATCAAAAAAAATATTTACATAATCAGGTCAATTATAAGATAATCATGTTGCTCAGATTCTTCAAAAATCAAGATGCACCCTAGTTCGATCCTCTAAATGCATTTATATTCTAGGATTAGATGCTACTAAAAGAACATGTGTTCGTTGGGAATTGGCTCGATGAGTCGTTGAAAATTTACTTGTTTTAGTAGTGCTACATATGTGTGTGATAGTAGTGAAGTCAAATTTTTCACTAAAAAGAGTTAAAATATAAAACAGTAAACACACGAAAGTATATATCCATTTAATTTTTTTTTCCTATTTACGCAATGTAACTTTTCAAGTTGAAGACACCACTTAGGACAAAGTTGGCTGCACCATTGGTGTATGACAATATATTTGAAAGATCCGAACAACATTGCTTACTTCCTATGGATATAATACCTCAAAATTTCTACTTAAGCAAATTCACTACTAAAAAGCAAGAGTTAACTACAGACATATTCTATAGCTAAACAATAAAATTCATTCTTCATTCTATTTAGCAACGAATTATCAAATAATTCTATTAGTATTGAAACTAACAAATAAGCGACGAAGTTCATATCTAATTTTTTTAGGTGTGTCAATAATCCAAAAATAATATATTTACCATATCAAAAAGACTTGAACGTCTTTTCTTTTTGTTGAGACTTGATTGTCTTAGAAAATATTTTTGAGCATGACTTGCAACTTGAGTTGGAGTCCTTGTTGTCACAAAATTTCTTGAAATTCCTCTCCAATCTCCTTTACCTAACTTTTCAAGTCCATTTAAGAATCTTCTATGTTCCTCTTCTGTCCATGGAACACCTAATTCATCCAATATAAACATATATATATCAATAGTCACATTAAAGGGGAACAAAGCATTTTACGTTCACACAGAATTTGGAAAAAAATCGCACCATTAGAAGTGTGATATAAACAATCTGCCCTGCTATAAGTATTAATGGTTGCTTAATAGAATATTTTCTAGTGGATATATTAACCTTAACAATGGTATAACCCCTTCATATATAAGTTACAATTAGACCAATATAGTTGAAGTTGTGTACTAATAAGAAAGATTCTACATGTTTATGTACTACACCAACTACAACTCAATTCCACTCAAGTTACGTAGGTCGATTATATGAATTTTCACTGTTTAATGTCTCATTTAAGCTCATCTTAGTTTAATGTGAAAATGTTCATTATACACAAAAAAAAACAAAAAACAAATGAAATTAGCTATAGTTATAGTTAATAATCTAACACAACTTGTTAATGTGAAAATGTTCATTATACACAAAAAAAACAACAAATGAAATTAGTTATAGTTATAGTTAATAGCTAACACAGCTTGTTGATAATCCGTTGATAAATAGGACTAGCAATGAATTTTGAGATTTAGCTACATAATCTATCACTAAAATTCATAATTTTTAGTAGTTCGTATTGTCGATTTTAGGCTAGGTCGTTGTTGGTGGTAGTGGTAGGGGTAGGGGTGGTGGTGGGGGTCGTAGTTGGCTGACAATCAACATAAAAGCTAACTAGTCAATTCATGATGAATTCTCACAATACAGAAAAAAATGTGTGTTCTAGTGATGACAACATGCAAATAAGAAAGAACCATGAGTCAAGAAGATGATTTACCACCCACCCCCACCCCCACCACACACACAAAAAAAAGCCAAACATTTTGGATTAGACCATAAAGTGAACCAAATTTGTAAATATAAACCATTATTATTGTAATTAAAACATACTAGAAATGTGTGTGTACAGTAAGTATACATGAATTAAATTACATACCTTTCTTCTTTTCACCAACACAACCTACAAGAGTACCATCAGAGATATAACCATTATTATCAATAGAAGTAGTACTACTTTTTTCCCAACTTTCATTAAGAGATGGAGAAGAAGATGATGAGAATAAGTGGCTATTTGTTAAAGACAAACAATCCAAACTAAAACTTTTCTTCAAATTATTATTATGACTAGAAAAACAAGAATTAGAAATATCAAGTTGCACTCCAAAAAGCCTTAATCCACCAATAATATTATTATCACTAATAGCACATTTCAAAGTGCTACAAGTTCTTGAATTATGACCAATATAGCCACAATGTGAACACTTTCTCCCCATTTTCACATACACAAAAAAGGGTTAGTTTCACAATTTTTTAATTCTTTTTTTTTGGTTGTTGAAATGGGAGGAAGAGAAGAGGGTTATATATATATCAAGAACTATTTATTTTTTTCAAAAAATAAAATAAAATTATATGATGATGATGTGTTGTATAGTACAAGGTAGGGTTTTATGAAAATAGCCAAGAAAAGATGATTGGATGGACATTAATGTTTTTGGTTGGTTGGATATATTATCCAAGTTGAGGTTTTTAGAGTAGAAAGCAACAACTTTTTTGTGATTCTACAAACGACAAAACTAAAAGAAGATGGAATTATTATAGGCAAATAATGATCAAAGGTCTCTCTCATAGAATGCACAAAGCATTTCACGTTCACTTAGAGGTTGAAAAAGAGTCATACCTTAAGGGGTGTTGATAAACGTAACTTATTAGTACAAAACATTAGTGATTACTTTCACGACTCAAACTTATAACATATAGCTTACACAAAAATAACTTTAAAATAAATTAATCTCTTTAGTAGAATTTCTGACTATGTTATGTAAGGATTATAACTTACTATAGTTATATGCACTAAACTCTCTATTATTAATTGTTGAAAAAAGAAATGGTCAATAAGGTTATCTTGTCGAAAATATTTGGAAATTTTTTGATGTTGATTTATCAATGGCTTTTTGAACATTGCATAAATAAAGACCTCTTTTCCTGTTTTTTATTTTTTATATTGTGGGGTGGGTGGTAATAAGTCCAATATATGTACAAAATTCATGAAATTAGTTTCTAGCAAAGAGTTGGAAATTGGAATGTGTGTATAAAGAGTCAATTAATAAACTCAGTCATATAATAATATTCTTTTTATCATGATTTAGAAATCTTGAAAGTCTTATACTGTACAGTTTAAAACTCGATGAATAATAAGTTTGTTTTTGTATATTTCTTTATGGTTGTTACATGACTCAAATTTATTTCTTTTCGAAGAAAACAACTTAACATGTCAACCAAGATATAAGATATTTTCCAACTTATTTAATATATATTTCTCATAATAGCAAATTCGAATTGATAGAATCACTTACTGTTTCTGAATTTTTTAAAAATAGCCTATGATTTTTCTAGATTGGATTATACTTGTGGGATATTTTTTTGGTAGTACTAGTACTTTGTTGCAAATGGGATGAGAACTTCAACAAAAGATACAATATCTTTCTTAATAAAATCTGACAAAAAAATCTTAGTTTTTTTTAAAAAGGGGATTTATCTCTATCCATATTGAAAAGTATTTATGTATCAGAAATCTCGAGTCTGAATTCTAAAAATGGAGGAAGAGGAGGATAGGTAAAAAGCATGCATTTTCAGGTTCTGCGCTAAGTAAATATAAATTAATCGAGATTCTAAAACAATAACCAACACTAGTGAAAAAACAAAATTTATCATTATTGTACTTCCAACCCCACCCCCCAATATGATGTGGCATTGTTGTCCCTTGAAGAATCTTCATTTTCAAGAACAAAATAAACAAATATATCTCTCTGCCTATTCCTGCTGAAATATCTTTAGCACATCACAGGTTAGAGATACAATATCATACTTTCTCCGTTTTAATTTATTTGTCTTATTTGCTATTTCTGTCCGTTATTCTAACTTTCCACATGACATATTCAAGACCATAAGATTTAAGTACATTCTAATACATTCTACGTATCTATTAGTTCAAGATCACGAGATTCAAAAATCTGCTTTATTTTCTTGAACTCTGTGTCAAATCAAAACTAGACAAACAAATTGAAACGGAAGAAGAGGAGTATTCATCACAAGAATCTAACTCTTTACCTTAGTTAGTGAAGAATTACAGGTACAGAGTAACTGAGAAAGGAATTTGTTGCAAATGTTGCTCTCTCTTACATATAATTACAAGGCGATGAACACGCGATATGGCTGCTTGAATCAATTAGCAGCTTCTGTTGTCGATATCACCACGACATAGAGAGCAAGGGACACTACAGTTGTTCGCGGAGAGGAAGAACAGGTCAACGAACTACTACCATCAACCACGAGATTCTGGAAAAAATGCAGTGTTGAGATATACAAACTTATGAGATGATGAACTTCATTATAGTCCATTCAACCTGGAACTTCTTCTCAGTTCGTTACTCCTCCATAACGAGCTAAAAGCATGAATAAGGACGATCCTAGTGCAGCGATGTTCACCTTACTAAAACTTTCATAAGACGGGCAGGATATCGTTGCTTGTTTTCACTTTGTCAGGGTATGAGATCAGAAGACCATGATGGAGGTGAAGCTCAGTATTCTTAACTGCAAAAACAGTTATGAATTTTCGCAACGTATCCAATGAGTTTAGATAATACAACAACAACAACATAGCTACTGTGTAATCCCACAAGTGGGAACTGGGGAGGGTAAGATGTATGCAGACCTTTCCCCTACTGTGGGTAGAGAGGTTGTTTGACTTGCTTCTGATAGACCCTCGGTGAGTAGTATGAACCAAGTATTTAGTAAAACAATGTACCATTTTGCAGTCAACATACAAATAGCGGTCTTAGTTCTAATAGAAAAGACTTGCTCAAGGTATACTTTTAGGACGGCATATGAGAAATAAAACAAAGAGAAGACTTACGAAGAAGAGATGTTAAGACCCACTCCAGCTTCTAAATTTGCAAATTCCACGGCGATTTTCAGCAAAAGAATCACGTATTGACTGAACCATGGAACTGACAGCTGGAAATAGACCGAGGTCTTCGTGCTGCTCCTGAAAATACGGTGTACTTTTACATCATTTTAGACGAGAGCTATTACTAATCGAAAAGTTCAAAGCAACTCAATACCACTTGAGATAGTCGATCTTCAATATTCCCGGAGCTCGTATCAGTGGGCATAAATATCTTTCTATAAGCTGCTCTCAGGCTCTTAATCTGGATACTTGCAAGAAAATTTTAAAACTAAAATTAGAGATATAAAAGTTATGGACAAAATTATAGCAATTTAATATATTGAAACTGATAGCACATCAATCTTTTAATAGCTTGTAATGGAAAAAGGAAAAAAGGTCTACAATTTTATTTTATTTTATGACAAGGGAACCCGCAGCCTTTATCCTTCGGGTGTGCACAGGGTAAATCCCGCTCGAGTGTAATAGTCCACAAACCACACAGGAGAGGTAAACCACACTAGGCAAGACTCGTACGATTAGCTCGACTGAGAAAGCATGCAGGGTTTCGAAGCTGAGACCCCCATTTGGGAGATCCCTGCTCAACCAACTCGGCCACCCTTGCAGGTATCTACAATTTTCTCTTTTGATATCAGAGCAACCCCCTGTAGACTTCTTGCTCAACTCCAGTTGGCGCACAGGTTCAGAACTCTGGGAAGTATGGCCCACGCCCGCCCCCTACCTTCCTCCTAACATAAATACTGTGTTGTCCGCGACATGGTTCGAACTTGTGACTTACACCTAATCCACACCACATGTTTCAGTTTACCAGATTATGCAATGTCTCATATGGCATTCTTTAGGGTCTATATAGAATTTCTTTCTCATTGGGAGTATTATTATTTAGTATATGTCCAATATATGCAGCAACATATCTTTTCTCCAGAATGAACAGCACAGAACATGAAAGTAGAAAAACAAGTCATAGCAAATGTTACAACAGAGGAATAACACGTGAAAAAAACACGATATGGCACTGAGACACAGACCAATTAGCTTATCAAAATTGAACTGCCTACATCTATTTGCTAGAAACATAGGGTAATTGTTCTTAAAATGAAACAAACCTCCACAGCAGAGAATCCACGACGTCTTAAGCCTTCAAGATTCAACCCACGAAGCTCAGCTCTTTCCCCTGAGACAATTATGTACTTTGGAACATCTTGAGAAACCTGGAGAACAAAAAAATTGAGATCTCAAAAAGGAAACACGTATGTGATCTCAAATATCGCAGTTAGCGTGCTGCAGTACAAGAATATATGTGCTTCTATTCTTAGAAATGCAGATGAAATAATTTGATGATATTCAACGTAACGTAAGCAGTTCGAAGCTAAGCTTTCATGAGATGCAAATTACAAAGAACTTTAAGCGTCTAGCAGTTATAGATGCTTTGCTAACTTAACTTATGTTTACATCAGGAAGAACACCAAACTAAGAAACTGTTGATATCTTAGTTTATCATGAGAGGAAGGCTGAGTCTTTTGAAAAACCAAAAGACAGCAACTAATTTGAATTAGGAAAGAATCTCACCACTGAACCACCACCAATGAAAGAATACGAACCAATACGGCAAAATTGATGAACTACAATACCTCCAGCAGTGTGAGCATAGTCCTGTATGAGAAGAATTTAAACCATCATCTATCAGTTTGATTTGATTTTTCCAGAATAGGTCATGCTTCACGAAAATGACGAAAGTGGAATAGTCTATCACCTCCACCACAACATGACCTGCAAGAAGTGTACTGTTCGCCAAAATATTGTTGTTGCCCACTTTGCAGTCATGAGCTATATGGCAAGAGCCCATAATAAGATTATTATCACCAATAACCTGTTTATGTAAGCTCGTTAAAGATAACTACTATGTACTAAAATTTATAACTTTCTGCACTACAGAAAAACTAACGAGCTAGTTTCATACGGTTTTATCACTTGGAGTTGAAGATCGATGGATGGATACATGTTCCCTGATTTCATTATTGTCACCAATCTCGAGAAAGCACTCATTCCCAAACTGAAATAGTCAAATTACAAACAAGATAACGGTTATTTGCATTTTCAAATAAGCACCACCTACTTAAATGTGAGGGTGAGGGAAAGAGTGATCATGATGAACAGACAGATCATCGAACTGATGGAGACAACTCCGAGCTCATAAGCCAAACAAAAATGATTCTCAATTCGGCGGCAGCACACTTTTAAATCTATATGATGTGATAGAACAGTATTGAATAAATTTAGCTGTCAACACTATCAAGATGTTTTTCAAATTTCTTTTTAACTTTTTTCAGTAATGAGTTTAATACCAGGATACTGACCTTATATTTCATGTCCTGGCACTTGACACCAATTACAGCATGATGCCCAAAAACATTATTTCTCCCGACGACTGTCTGACCAGGAAGATCATCTCCAATTACAGCACCACTGCTTAAAATATGCACCCTAAACGGTACTGGAGAGAACAGAAAGGAAGTAAAACTCAAGTACAACAAGAAAATTTAACTCACGTCATCAGGATGCAATTGTCCCCTAGTTCAGTATTTCCAAAGATGTGGCTTCCCGGGTACAGTTGACAAGCCCTCCCCAACTTTGCGAAAGGCCCAATGGTACAGAAGGGACCAATTGAAACACCCTACATGCAGAAAAAGCTCCTTTAACTAATTGCAAAATACTAATTCACCTAAGGCCTTAACATATAAACCTTAACATCTCCAATAAACCAGCTATAATGAGTCAAAGGAAGAAATGTGACATCCAAATAGATCAATCAATCAATCAACCAACCAAATATACGTCAATCCCACGGAGGTGGAATTGACTATATGAATCCTCTGCATTCATTTCTCTATATTTATTACAGCCCAAACAATAAATATTTTGTGTTGCACGGAAAATCAGAGATTCTCTTAAACTATAGTAATGTAAATGCCATAGTATCTCTACACCAAGATACATCTTTAACTAGAATAAAAGGACTCACCGCAAACATTGTACCTAATATAAGTATAATAATAGCAACTAAGCCTTAATCACAGCTAATCAGAATTACCTATATGGGTCTCTTCTTTTGAGGGAGTAAGTGATTTCTTTCCCTCAATTTTAATTTATGTGACACACTTTACTTTTTAGTTTGTTCCAAAAAGAATGACACACAATTTATTTTTTTGGAAACTTCACGTTTTAACGAGAAGCTTTTATAATCACACAACAGACACTATGACATGTGTCAGACCACATGCTTTAAGAGTCTTCATTTCTTTCTTAAAATCCATGTCAATTCAAACTATGTCACATAAATAGGAACACAAGGAGTATTTTTCTTTTGTCTTTGTTGGGACTTGAACTATGGTCTCCAATAGTTTTCACTGACCACTAGGCTATACGGCTATACCTTATACTGCGGTGCAATTACCTAATGGATCTTTTACCTCCACTTCATTCTATTCTTAGCTAAGTTTGCTAATTCCAAGAGAAGAAGTCACAAGAAATTCCTCCAATATATAAAAGTGTAGAGAGAAGAACAACACCTATTCTAAATTAAGAGTGAAGAATATACAGGTTGTTGGAGGAAGGATCCAGCGTTAACCATTTCTAATCTCAAATCTTCACTAGCTAAGCTTGTAATTAAGAAGTTATAAAAGATTAAAATCACTAGAGCTAAAAACTAAATGTTGATAATTAATGGTGGATCTAGGGGGCACAAGGGGGGTCGTCGAAAAACTACATTCTATAAAAAAAAAAAGTTAATTTTTTTACTTTTTTGAGAATGGTCACAAGTAATTTCAAGGTCAAAATTATTTTATATCCATATATCATAGATGTTGAATCCATTTGGCTTCTTCATGTATTTACTTCTTTATATTCTTAATCCCGTTAATGAAAATCTTGGATTCGCTAGTGCTGACGACAATGACCTATTCCTATGCAACTAAAAGTTTGAAGCATTTTCCTTACTTTCCCTACTTATCTTGACAGGAACACCCTAAAAGATATAACCAGAGGTTCCAATCCTTATCAAGTGCCCTAATATTCCAAACTACGGTAATGAAGAAAAGAAACAGCTACACCCATGTGCAAATTATAGCAGGTCCCAATCCGAATAAAGTAAAAGGGCTGTTGTTATGACAGTCAGCATAGAGTCAAACTAAGACAATTCTCAATATAACCGGTCCCAATTAGTTTGAGATTGAATTATACATGATTATTTGACTAATGAAGCAAAATCAAACTTGCTACTAGAACAAACATATATAACTGGCAAAGACTTGAGAAATTCAAGAAAAAAAGGCATAAACAGAGGAAAGATTGAATCTTTACATCGCCCAAAATGGCACTTGGAAGAACAACTTAAGACAGGTGAACGAATCGTGGTATTTCATCAGCAGCATCAATGGATTTTAAAAATAAAATCCTAAGTCCAATCTATAATCCAAAAATCCAAACCAAATATCCAAAAAGTTTGGATTTCAGATAGCCCAAACTATGCCCACCGTTAAGCAATGCATCTTGGGCCTAACTCAACCCCAAAAGCTAGCTAACGGGGAGGATTGCCCAAGTCCATATAAGGACACCAAACATCTCATTAACCACCGATGTGGGATTTTTTCATTCTTCAAGACCCACCCCTAGTCAGCATAGAGTCAAACTAAGACAATTCTCAATATAACCAATCCCAACTGGTTCGGTATTGAAGTATACATGATTATATGACTAAAGAAGCAAAATTAAACTTCCTACTTGAACAGACATCTATAAATGATAAAGACTTGAGAAACTCATCAAAAGAAAAGCATAAACAGAATAAAGATTGAATCTTTACATCATCCATTAGCATTTCAATGAAAAACTTAAGAGGTGTTAATGAATCTTGGTTTTTCATTAGTTGCATCAAAGGAGCAGTTATTATGACAGTCAGCATTGAGTCAAAAGAAAGACAATTCTCAGCATAACCGATCCCAACTAGTTTGTGATTGAAATATACCAGGGAATCTTAGTAACTCAGTTGGTTGGCTACGTGAACTTTCAACTTGATGGTGAGGGTATTCCCAACTTGTTACAACCCCCCATTTCCCCTTCCCCTATCCCCAATTTGAAAGTGATTGAATGTGACAAATGAAGCAAAATTAAACTTACTACTACAGCAAACACCTATAAATGGTAAAGACTTCAGATTTTCATCAACAAAAAAGCATAAACAGAATAAAGATTGAATCTTTACCTCACCCAAAATGGCATTTGGATGAACAACTGAAGAGGGGTGAATGAATCTTGATTTTTCTTCCTCTGTAGCATCTGCACACAAAAAAAAAAAACATAAGAGAATAAATACTTAAAATTTTGAGTTTTTCAAAGCAAAATAAGAGTAAAAATGGAAACTTTACAAGTAACAATGGAAGAAAATCTGCAGAGAGTGAATCTTCTGAGAGCAACAGAGAGAGGCCTACGACTGCTGGAGAAGAAAAGAGAAGACATGTGTGTGTTCAAAAAATTTGAGGGTCTCTTTCGAATTTTCATGTACTTTATTGGGGTGAAATATGCAAATAGTCACTTTTTAAACTTCTAATAATCAAATTTTAACCATCATTTTTTAAATTAATTAAACTTTAGTCACTAATTAATATAGAGACATCCTTTTTTCCATTATACCCTTTGATTAAAACTCGAAAACTTTAGGAATTTGTCTGAAGTTCGATTTGTCAAAACTTCGAACTTCAACATTGTTTGTTAAAGTTATTTCGTATTTTGTTATGGAGTTTTTTTTCTTCTTCATTTTGTCTTGCTTTTTAGCATGAAAATATCGAATAAAGGAATGACCGAGGGGTACTAATTTGATAAAAATATAAAACGAAGATGCAAGGCAAGCATCATTATTGGTCACCGCCCAAAAAATAAAAGATTTGTTAGTCCAGATTGAAACTAACACATAGATAATGGTCAATGTCAAGATCGATGTCAAAAGAGGTATAAAAATGTATGAGACTAAAAGAGCATCTTTACAATTCGATTTAAGTCGATTTTTAATGTGATAAAGTTTGAATAAAGAGATGACCAAAAGGGTATTGATTTGTGGGAAGCATAAAAAAAAAATCAATCAAACACTATTGTTAGACACCGTATGAGAAACAAGTGATTCACACTTCTAGCTGAAAATACATTAATTAAGGTATCACAAAGAAAATCCAAAGACAACTTTTTGAATTAATAACTATTAGTTGAGTGATCAATCCAAAAAATATTATAAAATTTAAAGAATCCACTTAGTAACTATTTGATTTATTTGCACACAATATTTACATCAAATTTATTACATACGGTGTCTAACAATAGTGTTTGGTAGAAATTTATTTGCACACAATATTTACATCAAATCTATTTGATTTATTATAATTAAGTAATTAAATAATAATGATATATATTTAAATATATATTATGTATCCATTTGTTCACTATAAACACCTAATGTTGATAAATATTCAAAATCGTATCCTGTCTAGATTCTTTCTCCATGAAAAGATATAAATATAAAATAAAAATAAAAATAAAAAACATAAAATAATGAGATTTAAATAAATTGATTTTTTTAAACTAAAAGTAAGTAGAGGCCAAAGACCGCTAAGTTATTAACAAGACAACTAGTCAAAAACCAAACGTAACATGCACTACAAATTCAAGAAATCAAATATTATAATCGAATTCCTCGTATCGAATTAGTGTAATGTAATTTATATCTATAAGGTAAGTTATGAGCTATTATATATAAGTTAATTTATTTCATTCACATCTGAAGAATATAATAATAATATATTTATTATGATCACATAAAATAAAACTTAGATATATTTAAAGAATGGCAAATGCGAATTCTGTTGAGGGTTTCAAAAAAAATTTATAATCTTAAGCATATTAGAATAGTTTTTTTTTAAAAAATCATAAAATGAAACGAGTAATTATTAAGCGACTTTATCTTTACACATAGTAAAAAACAATATAGAATTCACCTTTATATTGTCATTTCTGTCGTTATTATCTTATGCTTCAATTTTATTATTACATACTCCCTCCGTCCAATAATTATTATCCACTATATTATTTTGGATGTCTAACAATACTTATTCACTTTATAAAATCAATAGATAATTTTACACTTAATTTCTAATTTATCCTTATCATTAATTATAGTCATTTTCTCGTTATATATTTTTTTCAAGATATAGGATTTATTATATTCAAAGACTGATATAGTAAAATTACCCCTCTATATAGTTTCTTAAGAAGTGTGCAAAGTCAATAGTGGACAAGTATTGTTGAATAGATGAATTTTTTTTTTCTTGCCTTGATTATCGTATTGTTTCTATTGCTATTGTTTTTTATTTAATATGTTTGCTTCGTTATTATATTTCTCTTCTTATTGATTTTGATATACTTTACTTTCATTCGAAATCTATCGGCAAATAACTTTTCTAATTTCATAAAGCCAGAATAAGATTTCGTACACACCACCCTCTCTAGACCGCAACAGTATGTTTTAGTAAGTAGTACTCTTTGTTTTGATTAACTCTTCCTTTTAACCTTCTAGAAATTTGACACGTGTCATCTTTCTATGCCTTGCTATTTTTTCCATAAATGCTCCCTTAAAAATTGGAGAAAATAAAATCTCACGGACTCCGCCATCAAAACGACGCCGTATTCCGATATGCCAGCCGAAGAACACCGTAACGCCTCGCCGGCGGCGCCACATCCACCGACGGACACGGCGGAAGAAGCTATCTGGTTATGGACTCAGATCAAAGCAGAAGCTCGGCGGGACGCAGAATCTGAGCCGGCATTAGCAAGCTATTTGTACTCAACTATACTATCTCACTCTTCGCTTGAACGCTCACTCTCTTTTCATTTGGGGAACAAGCTTTGTTCTTCAACGCTTCTATCTACTCTTCTCTACGATCTGTTCCTCAATAATTTCTCCACTGATCCTGATCTACGCGCCGCCGCATCCGCTGACCTACTCGCCGCTCGCTACCGTGACCCGGCCTGTGTTTCCTTCTCTCATTGTTTGCTTAATTACAAAGGCTTCCTTGCTTGTCAGGTTTGTAAGTTGTAACTACTCGTTATGCCTATTTTTACTTATTCAGTATGCAATAAATGGAATGCCAATTTTACCATATTACTGTTTGAATATAATAAATTTATGTTTCGAGAAATGACTATAGTTAATGATACCATAAATTAGTAACTATGTCATAACATCTATTTTTAGTATATTGTGATACTGTGAAATTGTCTCTTCATGAAGAAATAGGAAACCTGGGGACTTATGTTAAATTTTTCTGGAAAGATGAGAACTTTAGAGTATGAAAAGATGAGTTTTTGGTGGATTTGTATGAAAAATTGATGATTGAAGTGCAGGAGCCAGGATTTTCGACAAGGGAATTCAAAATATAGAGTAAATACACGAAAATGCCTAAGGGATTTATTAACTACTCCTATATATAGAACAACAACATACCTAGTGTAATTCCACTTGTGGGGTCTGGGAAGGGCAAGATATATGCAAACGCAAGATCGTATCCTACTTTTGCAGGGTTGAGAATCTATTTCCAATAGACCATCGGCTTGACATACAGGAAAAGAAATATCTACTATTTATACATGAAGTATACTATATACATACAAGATAGTTTTGACCTTGTGCATACTGTGTAATTTTTGGTGATGAATTCCCTTGCAGCACCCTAGCTCCGCCCCTGGTTGAATTGAGTCTTCATCAAGGAAGACTCAAATGTTCCAATTGTTGCCTTGGAAGTCATACCAAACAAAAGATTGACCCCGGATATTAGAAGTATATGGCATAGGCCAATCTACTTGAATGTGAAACTGATAATATGACCTTTTCACTTTAGAATTTGACATTGTTCAAGACTTAGTTGGTGCTATACTACTATGTTATAAGTTATAACGATAGGTACATTTGTTAAAATATTACTTTAGCAAGGTAATGGAATTAGATCTTTCTTTGGATGTAGACTCGGTATGAATTAGGATAACAATTGAGTTGAAGTTGAGAGAGAGTACTTGAAGTTGAGGTTGGAAAAAGATAGTGGAAGACTGGAAGTTAGTATTTATGTTTGGAAATGAAATTCACTTGGAAAAAAGTTTGTGAATTTGTGAGTAGAAGTCAAACACTTGAAGAGCCTTGCTTCTAATAAACTTTCAAACCACTACTACAAGATTTCATTTATTGTTCAAATAAGACTGCACTCAATATCCGAGACTTCACGGCCAAACTACTATTTGTAAATAATTATGTCATGGCTGAACGGGTTAAAATGGTGAAAGTGTGTGCTGCAATGGAGCCAAGGACTGTGATATTGTTTGCTCAGTAGTCTCTAGTATCTGGGTGGTAGGTATGGTTTGAAAGTAGTACAAAGGTAAAAGGTTACCAGTTTGGTGGTCTCTACCGTTACTTGTTTTTTCTTTTCTATCCCAATCCATTTTGAGATAAGCAGCTAATGAAACATCGTACCCCTGGGTTTTCCTGTTTATATGTGTCAGAAGGCCCGAAAACACCTATATAAGCGTATGTAAATGAATGTATGCAATTGATCTTTCCTTTTCTGTTAAACAATGTTCATTAGCTACCATGTGTTGTATTGGCTCTCTGCTGACAAATGAAATAACTTTACAAATGCATTTGGACAGTTCACCATATTCTAAATTGAAAAGGAAAAAGTATATGTTTCCTTTGGTTAACAACTGTGAGATGCTTTTTTATTTCAATAAAATGAGTAGCTATTAGCATCTCATGGAAATTGCATACTTACAGATTGCCTGTATTTCAATAGTAAGTCAAGGGGCTTACTTTTCACTTCATATCATATCGACTCTCTCTTCAAATGGTAGTAGTAGGTATTAACAATTTAATGTTTTATTTTCAGGCACATCGAGTAGCTCACAAACTTTGGACTCAATCCCGAAGGCCACTTGCACTTGCACTTCAATCCCGAATCTCTGATGTTTTTGCTGTTGACATTCATCCAGCTGCCAAAATCGGAAAAGGCATCCTCTTTGATCATGCAACTGGAGTGGTTGTTGGTGAAACTGCAGTTATTGGAAACAATGTGTCGATTCTTCACCATGTAACCTTAGGAGGAACTGGTAAGTTTGGTGGTGACCGACACCCTAAGATTGGTGATGGAGTGCTCATAGGTGCAGGTGCCACGATATTAGGCAACATAAATATTGGTGAGGGAGCCAAGATTGGCGCTGGATCAGTGGTTCTGATTGACGTGCCACCACGAACAACTGCAGTTGGAAATCCAGCTAGGTTGGTGGGAGGGAAAGAACAGCCAACTAAGCACGAGGAATGTCCCGGAGAGAGTATGGACCATACATCTTTCATATCTGGATGGTCTGATTACATCATATGACTTGCATATCATGTATGATATATTTGCCAAATGAACTAAGAAGTCGTCGTCTCAGAACATAAACGAGATGACAGAGGTTCGATCTTACTGCTGCTGACAGTCTATAACGAAAAGATCTTTTATCTATCTACTCTAAAAGATTATTCTTCTGCTTTTCTGTACTTTGCATACTGTGAAAGTTGAATATATCCCCAGTATGGATGAATAAAAAGTATAGTGTTCCTGGAATTGAGTAATATTTATTCACAGTAGAGTTCACTACATGTAACCAATTGGTGTTTGAATGGCCTTGAAACCATGTTTATAGAAAGATATCAGACTGTACATTAGTATATGATTCTGCTGGAGAAAATACTTGCAATGTCTGATTTCTCCACTTCTATGCATTGCCTTTGCATATGGAACACGTTTTATTATCGATGAGAACTAAAGAATTTCATCGAGAACTCAGATCTGCTTAAGAACAGACACTTGAACACACAAATATGTGCTACTCTTCATAACTCGCCCGTACTTGTCAATCAATGTACAAGACGCCAGAATGAGGCATTAGTTTACAGCAAGTTGTTGTTAATATACATTTTTGCAGTGCAACCTCGTATATAGATGAATTAATACCAGAGGTACCATAGCCAACCCCAACTAGTTTGGGATTAAGGCAATACCATCTGATAGCTCTCTGGTAACAACTTATTGTAAAGAAGAATAATGCCTATATTAAAGAATGGAAATTTACAAACTTTAGCAGCTTTGATTGCCAGTTCTCCGAAATTGAACTTGAAAAATCTGAGCCTGAAGAAGATTGTTAGGAGTGCAGGGTGGATGATTGACTGTCTCTGTTACTAGTGACGACTTCTACAACAGCATCATCTCGTGATGGTACTCTCAGGTATGCTTTCATCATATCGTAAACAGTAAACCCAATTGCAACAGATGGTACAACCTAATTTTCAAACATAGTATAGTGATCAGTTAACATAATAGATACAAATGGCAATAAAGGCCAGTCGATGTGCAGTCTGTTTCTTACCTTCAGATAGTTGAGGCTAAGCCCGGAAAATAGTTGTTTCCATCCATGTGTCCGCAAAATCATAACAAGAGTATCTGCTGTTCCTTTCATTTCGTGGCTGTTAGATGCTGAGAGTCTCTGGACCTGAAATGTTCGCGTACTCTGTCATTCTAACTGCAAGTTTGTCACAAGAATAGTTAACCAACTTATACAATCTCACTAAATTACCTGCATTTGCCGCCTAACAACATCTAGAGGATAAGTGAAAGTTTGTCCTAGAAGTCCTGCTACAGATCCACATGCTAGTTTTATCGTGATATCATTCTTCCGCTCCTTAGGGACATGGCTCTTCATTGTCTCATAGAAGTAAAATTTCAGCCCAGCATAAGGAAAGATTCCATAGAGTGACGGAGCTGGAATGCAGCATGCACATTATGTAAGAAGATTTGCAAACTAACAGTAAATACAAGTATCGCAACGCAAAACACTTCATACCAACTCCACGGTATAGGCCCTTTATTCCAGCTTCCTTGTATGTCTTCGAAAAACAATCCTTTATTCCCTTGTAAACTTGTTCACCAGTTACAAGCCCCTGTATATTCAACTTTTGGGATCCAACTACCTAGCTGATCATGTGTGAATCAGTCTTCAATTGTTCACAGAGCAGTAAAGTGAAATAAATTCATATTCATTAGACTAACAAAGCTAGCTAAGCTAGAAGAATTTGGAGCTAGAGGATGTTCGATGATAGAGTGACGGACAAAGAGCTTTTAGAGTGGAGAAAGAAAATCAAAAGAGTATGTTGTTATGTTTCTCACCTGGTAAGCCAATTTAGTTCGAACCAAATCAAGTGGATAAGTAAAGAGTACAGCAGTTCCACCAGCAAACGATCCTGCAACGAGATCAAGAATGGGACCTTTCCCCACTCCAGGAATTCCATCTATAATCCAGCGGCGATACTCTTCATAGGCCATGTAGTGCAGTGCTGCATAAGGGACAATGCGAGCAACACTAGCTCCATTTCCCCTGAAGAAGAGTTCCACCAAAAATACATGTAAACTTATAGACTAACTCATCTGAACAGTTAAAATCGAAGGGAGAATATTGCATTTTGCACCTGAAAAAACCAAGGGTTCCTTCTGTCTTGGCAATCTTTGTAAAGGATCCTATCAGCCCCAAACTCCGATATTCAGCTTGTCTGGTCTAAGGAAAAGAAAATCAAACATAAGGAACTCAACTTTTTCTAGATTCACAAATTCATACTTGCTATTCATAGCACATTTCACTTTTTAATATTCAAGAGCACCAACTGTTAAACAATATGCCTTTTTGAGGTCCTTCATGATTCTGATAATGCAAGAAGAATCTTTTTCATCCATAAGCTCCACTAGTGAATAGATCATGGAATATATCAAGCATCTGTTTCCCTTCTCTTTGTGCTCTAACAGATCTAATGAAATACATTACTGATTACAGGCATTTTAAATAAGAAATATTGATTAACTACACCTTAATCCCAATATAATTAAGATGCTTATATGAATCTTCAGTTTTTTGCCTGATATACACAACTTAGCAATCACTTTGTAAGCATCTAAAGGACAAACAAGTGAGGAAGTTGACTTGGAGAAAGAAAAGAGATGCCTAGCTGCAATCAGAAAACAACGCTCTTGATCAAGAAAGTGAACCTTATTATAGATAGAGCGTTAGCGCTTTACTAATAACAGATACAAGGATGACTTTTTTCAGCTTGGTTGGAATCGATTCTACGAGCAAAATATATATTCACAGGTAAACAATGTGTCATGAAAGGTCAGGCACACAGACTTAAACCACCTCAGGCACTTTATGGAAATGCAAAAATGTTGTAACATAAATCACAGTATTTTACAACTATGATTGGTAGATGCTCTCATCAAAGAGAGCTAACTAAGCCCCTGAGTTCATCCTCTAATTCAAACTGTAAACAACAATAAAAATCATAAGTGCATTTTGTTGTTCTGCTTTTGGTGTACAAATGTCTACTCCAATGAAACTGAGTCAATCATAGATGTATTAGGATCCATTTAGATTTGGTTCAGTTTTTGGATAGATTTTACTCCTTTCTGCTTTTGTAAATATGGTTTTTCAGTACTACCTAAGTACTAAATGAAATACAAATGTTACTAGTTTCAAAAAAAACATAAGCATAAAATTATGACTGTAAAAAAAATAACAGGATCTGTAACATAAGCAATGATGTTAGTGAGCAACTCAACAGGAGCAAAGTACACGAATATTTAATTGTGTAGAAGAAGAAACCTTGGGAGGTAGAGAATGTTGTTTCCGATAGACCCTCACCTCATGTAAAAACATTACAAACCATCTCGAAAAATGAAAACAACAGGAGTGAAGAACATCAAGCAAGATCAAATTCTGAGAAAAATGCAATTAGTTCCATTCAAGTGTTAATCATCCTCCACAATCAATGCAACAACAACAACAACATAGCCAAGATAGAGTGAGTGTCCGCAGATCTTACCCCTACCTTGGGAGGTAGAGAATGTTGTTTCCGATAGACCCTCACCTCATGTAAAAACATTACAAACCATCTCGAAAAATGAAAACAACAGGAGTGAAGAACAAATCATAAGGGTAAATTCTGAGAAAAATGCAATTAGTTCCATTCAAGTGTTAATCATCCTCCACAATCAATGCAACAACAACAACAACATAGCCAAGATAGAGTGAGTGTCCGCAGATCTTACCCCTACCTTGGGAGGTAGAGAATGTTGTTTCCGATAGACCCTCACCTCATGTAAAAACATTACAAACCATCTCGAAAAATGAAAACAACAGGAGTGAAGAACATCAAGCAAGATCAAATTCTGAGAAAAATGCAATTAGTTCCATTCAAGTGTTAATCATCCTCCACAATCAATGCAACAACAACAACAACATAGCCAAGATAGAGTGAGTGTCCGCAGATCTTACCCCTACCTTGGGAGGTAGAGAATGTTGTTTCCGATAGACCCTCACCTCATGTAAAAACATTACAAACCATATCGAAAAACATAGCCAAGATAGAGTGTCCGCAGACCTTACCCCTACCTTGGAAGGTAGAGAAGGTTGTTTCCGATAGACTCTCAGCTCAAGTGAAACCATTACAAAGCAGCTTGAAAAACGAAAACAACAAGACTGGAGAAGCCAAGACCTCTCAAGAACATCAACAAAGATCATATTTTGAGAAAAATGCAATTGTTAACCATCCTCCAAGATCAATGCATCAACCAAAATTGTCTCATTTAACATAAAACACTCTAAAAAAAACAAATTCACTACAAAATCATCATCAAACTCATCCAAAATGGAAAAAAGTTAATAACTTTCAACCCCATGAAGCAAAATTGAACCATAAACTCAACAAAAAAACAACAATACCTGAAACAAGATCTTGATACGTTCAAGAGGTGCAACTGCAGACTTAGCAAAACCACCAGCTACACCACCAGCTATTAATTCTTTAGCAAACAAAGGCATCCCTTCTATAACCCCATCCCAAACCTCCTTCTTCTCCCTCCTTTCATCTCTTTGTTTTGCCATTGAAAAAAACAAGAAAACCCCTTTTGAAAAAAAACACAAAATTGAGAAAGGAGAGACTAATTGGGTCTCTCCCTCTCTCCACACAAATCTTGAACAACCCCCAAAAGGAAAAAGTTCAATAAAGAAGGCAAATTCAAGATTTTAATGGAGTCTTTACTTCTGTAGGCCAAAATTGATTTTGGCTGCTAAAGAAACAGCCAATTGATGAAACTTGCTGCTGTTTGACTATTTACGAGTCACCAAACGCCGGTTATTATAGTTGTCGAGTTCGAGTTTTGGAGAAGTTAATTTTTATTCTTGTTAGAAAGAATCTCAAACATTTCTACTCAATACGAATTTAGTGAAATTTCAATATAAATATTTGATATGAGGTAAAGGTTATTATACTATATAGGAATTACTTTATTTTAATTTTTTTCCAAAATAATTTAATATTTATTCATATTGCTAATATATTTATATATATGTTTTGTATTGCTAATATATTTATATATTGTCGTATGATTTATTATGAGTATTATTTAATATGACCAACTACATATTGCATTAAGTTATGATTGACAATAATTCAATAAACTTTAATTTATGATTAGCAATTTAATCTCAATTTTATTAGATTAGTATTTATAATTATCAAAATATATCTATAATTGTTTAATAAAAATAATTGTGTAAATAATTTTTAACCAATTTGTAAATATAATATGAACTATTTTCTTATACGTTGTTCGATATTTTGTTAGTCATACGAATCTTTAGAGACGGATTCAAAATTCAAAGTGTATAGGTTCCTATGGCGAATTCAAGTCAATATATGATAGTGATTCAACCCACAAGTAATTTTTTAAATAAAAATTCTTAATAAAAGTTATTGTGTTTGTGTAACCTATCGACAACATTTTAGATTTGTCACGATGAACTTTCAATTAATATTATAATTATTTTATGCGAATTTTAATTTTATGTAGAACTATTCTTTTCTAATCCCTAACAATTAGCCCTTTATAGCAAAAAGAATCAAATTAAATTTAATTACTTGGTTTGGTTTAAGTAATAGCATAATTCCTTTTTATACTTTTACCTATACATGTTGATTATATTCTTTTCCAAAATAGTACGTAATGTATAAGAAAAAAGAAATTAAAGTGGGCATCTAAATATGTTTCCAATTCTATAATAAGGTATGATGGAATTGCTTTTTTAGGATTAGTTTGATTTGAAATTTTGTTTCGATGTGTAATTTGAATTTAAAGTTGTATTTTTTTTTTCCATATGAAAGTCCACAATTTGTAGAAACCATCAAAACTTCCTCAATTTTTATATAGTTTTACCAAATAAACAAATTACAGTTTATAAATAAGATATCAGAATATCTTAATACATCGTATTAATAAATCACATATCTCCATCTTCCTTTCATAAAAATATATTTGTTATTAAATGATATTACAAGGTTTCAGATACATATAATTTTACAAAAAATCATATATACAAAAAAATCAACACTGGTAATAATTAACTATTATTTAATATAATATGTTCACATAGTACAAATAATTTATTCACATCAAACATGAGTCTTTTCATTATGAAATATAATACAAGTCAAGTTTACATTGTAAAAAAAAAATCCTACTTTTAGAAGAATTTGAAATATAAAATTATTATTTAAATTAAAGTTAAAATTTTGTATTGATTTCATAAATATAATGTTGATTTTAAATTAAAATTTAAAATTTAAATCCCAAATATTATTACCAAATGCCTACTTAATTAAACTAACATAGTGGACCTCATGAAAGGGAACTTCTGTCATTCTGTGTTGATAAAAAGATTTGATTCCCTCTAAATGTTTGTATTTTATTTTATTTTATTCTTGTTTTAATTAATTGAAAGTTTGCATATTAAATTGTAAGTTGTAATGCTTCTTTCTTTTCTTTTTTTCCACCTAATATTCTCTGGTACCTAAAATTTAAGGTCCAAAAGTTCCTTTTGTTTTAGATTAAAAGTAATTCTGATTTTAGTTTAATTTTGAAAGAATTAGTTTAGGGAAAAATAATAGAATGTATGATGAATGAAATCCATATAGAAGATCTCTTCTAAGTTTTGGGATCACAAATAGGAATTCAAAATTACCTTTTTTTTTCCGAGTATATTAATCTATGAATTTTCTGAAATATGTTTCATTGACTTTGTTTGACCTCTAGCAATATTCATTGTTTTTCAATTACCTATATCGCCTTATTGGAGTTTTCGGGTCCCAAAATAAGAATTTAAGTTTATCTCAATTTTTTGTGTATATTATTAGTCCATGAGTTTTTTGAAATATGACTAGTCGAGACTCCGTTTGACCTCAAATTTTGTAAGTGTATTTGTGACGACAAATTGAATGACACTCTTTACCTTTGCAGGACTAACATCACTTTTTTGATTTTGTGGTCAAAGAAACAAATTCAGAATACTCTCAGCTTTTCATGTGTTAATGTCCATGAATTTTTTGAAATATGTCCAACGGAGTCCATTTTATCCCAAATTTTGTGGTTTCATTCGTGAAGATCTAGTGAATGATATACATTATCTCTATATGAGTGACATCACATTTTCAAAATTTCGGGATCACAAATCACAAATGCAGAATTATCATAGCTTTTCGTGTGTATTATTCCATGAATTTTTCAAAATAGGATTACCATACTTCATTTGACCCCAAATATTGAGCGATCATTCAATATGACCTAGTGAACGATACTCATTGTTTTTCCAGGACCGACAATGCCTTCTTTGGGGTGGTGTTTCTAGGTCATAAAAACATGAATTCAAGATTATCTCATATTTCACATGTATTAAGGCCTTGTGAGTTGTGACCAATATTCATGACTTCCATTAACGATCTCTTTTTACAGCGTTTCAATGTCGCGAAATAGAAATTCAAAATTTCACATATTTCATGTGTGTTGGTCTACGAAATGTGCATGAATTCAAATTTAATTGAATTCTAATACGAATACCAAACACCAAATGTGAACAGGAAAAAATGAACTAGGACTTAAATGAGCTTAACTAGAGTATCATAAACAAGGAACATCATTTTATAATAATAATACAAAAATATAAGTTACAATTGCCTCTTTGGCCTCAAGCATCAGATAATGCAACAAATGAATTTCTTAGTTGTATAACTAAGCAAATAGAAAGAAAAATAATACAGTTTGATGGGGAAAATAAACAGAGAATACATTTACCATTGATTGCCTTTGGGAAGCAGGTAGAAATGTTATCAGTTCCTGTATATCCCGAAAGGCGCGGACAACGCAGGAATTCACTCATCTGTCATTTTCAACTTGAATGCATCATCTCATCCGATAATACTGAGTTCTTGAAACGCGGCAGTGTTTACCATTTACAGAGTATTTGAGCATTATATCGACATCTCGAGGATTTTTCTTGTTAGGAGCCACAGTCATGCTTCCAACTACAGCTTCCCCTTGGCAAACAGTTATCACATCTTCCAGGTAGAGAACTGTTTGCTTCCAATGTGTGCTTCGAGATTTGGGCCCTACATATCATTATTTTTTCATTGTCAGAAACGACGAAGCTACATGAGCTCGTTTATTTGGGGTGGGGATCAAACATTCTTATCCCAGTTCCCGAGAAGGAAAAAAGAGAGCTCATACTATTCTATTGCATAGATTGTTCAGGTCTTTGCAAGAACTCTTCTGAATCCTACATACTCTTCCCCAAAAACGTAAAAAAGGAGAACTACAAAGTGACCAATCTAAACACCTCAGACCCTTCGAATAAGGAAAAATAACACAGCAGAAACAAATAATATTGGAAAAAACTTCAAGGAAGGAGAATACTGCAAAGGCTAATGTCAAAATTAAAAGCAAATGCAAAGACAAAAGTGTGGACCTGTTGAGAAGCCCAACAACTTGTGACACTTAGTGAAAGAGACATCGAAGTATGCTACAAGGGCATGGATGTAATCATCACGTTCTGCAATGAGCTTAAATGGAGCTGTGAAGGAAGCATCCCCAGAAGTCATCTTAGAAATGTCCATCGTCTGAAGGGAAGCATTCATTGTCAGTGAAGTAAAAGACAAATCACGCATTGTACGGCTATTCAGTAAATCCCAAGGCAACTACGTATAAACTTGATTTGATTACCTTCAGTAACTGGCAGTTTGTAACAATCTGATTCTGATCTACTGTGTCAACAATAGGTTCCATCATAGCTTGCTTTCGTATACAGCTCATGTCGAAACCGTACACACTATTCCAAACTGCAGTAGAACACGGAGGCCAAAATTAACAAAAGAGAAAATGGAAGATGTTTGATGCCACAAGAAAATACATTCAAAGTACATAACTAAACAGAAAATATCAAAATCCATCAAGTATAAAACAAAAACATGAAGGAGGAATAAACTTACATTCAATCTTATCTTCTTTGTAATCAGCATCTTCAATAGCTGTCAAACAAAGAGAAGCTTTATCCGGCAGAACAAGACCATCCTTTACCTGCAATGGGAAAGAAAGAGGACAGGATTAGGAAAAAACACTTTCTTATCCATCAACCAAAGCACGAAAACCTTCAAGACAAGTGAGCACAGAAAGCAAAGCCAGGCATTTGGCATAATTTTGCCGAGCTAATCTTGACCAACCTGCAATATATCTCCCAAAAACAAAGATATGGAAATCCGCAGGGCAAACCAAACACTAACTACACGTACTCATTCTCATTTTCTAAAGAAGCCATATTTTCATATTCATCTTCCCAATAGCTGACTTAATTGATAAAAGTTAGCACACTTCACAGCTGTAATAGGATATAAATCACCACATAAGCACTCTATTAATATCCGCTATACAAATACATTCAACCAAACACACGCAGACGTCAATCACACATTATTTTCTTTGCTTTTGTTGACTTGTTCCTTTTTCCAGATGAGAATAAGGGGCTTAAGGTGGCAGGGAGGAGGATCAGCAAGAAGGTTTGATCACTGCAAGTGAATGTGATGATAGATGAAATATGTTTCAACTGTGGGAACAAAATGTCGGGGCAAAATCTAGATTAGCATTCAATGATAGAATGTAATCACGCCTTATTTAAACCCGTGACCAAGCTTCAATAATAAGCATAGTCTAATTAATGTAGAAGAGGTTGCGACAGTCACAATATCATAGCTTGGAAAAGGACAGGGGCCCTCTTCCTCATTCCACACATATTTCATTACTACCAACACTTCCTCCTGCTCAGACCTTTTACTTTGTGGCATCATTTCCATTTCCCCTTTAAAGGGTCTAAATTCTAATCCACAACATATAGTAGACCCATCAAGTATAATCAAAAAGTTGAGGAAAAAACTTCAACCTCTCATCAACATCCAAAACTATTCACACTATTCCGGCAAAAGATAGTCAAATTAGCATCTTAATTTAATAAACAAGCTTAGGCACCAAGCAGGAAAACCAGAATCCAAAAGTGGCTAGGAAAAAAAATGACACACATGCATTGAGAAGATAAATATTAAATAAGGCCTCGTTGGGGATGTTAATCCATAGTTTGTATTGGGTAGCATCATTTACTGGAACCAATGGTAAACATACAATTGGAAACAATATTCCACAGGTAGCTTCTTTACAATAAGTAGTTCAACCTGCAGTCAGTTTTAGTGTTTTACTAAATTCAGGGGTTAACTCATTAAAACATTAAGCCAACAGTCTTTGGTCCCCTTCATGGTGTCTTCCAATGACTACACACATTTTCTTTTATGGATAAGTATCTATTGTGCTACACACAATTTCTTTCATCCATAAAAAACACTCAAAATCTAATCTCTATGCATCTGTGCTTTCTCTTCATCCATTGAACTACTCAAAACCTAATCCCATATTCATGCATACGCAATCTCGCTGCTTGCACAGAAAACCGATTCTGAAGAACTGATATCATCATTAATCCAAGAGACAAATTATACATCATCACAAGTAAAGTAACTTACCAGCCACTTGTCGCGAGCATACAAGACTGTATCTAACATGTTCTCGTACAGAAGAAAGTATCCCATCCACTCGGAGATTATTATATCCACTTGTGGAACGGGTAGGTCAATCTCCTCTACCTTTCCCTTGATAACCGTTATAACTGAGATAGAAAGAGAACAGACTCAGTAAAGTACACACACCAGAATATCTGTCACAAAGTACATGAGTGATAGCATCTTCTCACCATCAGAAAATCCATTGAGTTTAACAATTTCTTGTGCCATGTCAGCCATACTGGAGCATTCGATCTGAAAATTAAATAGTAACGGTTCAGCCATATTTGATGATATTGCAAAGACAACTGCCAGTTCCACATAGCTTTCAAATCAATTTATAGTCTAATGTCCTTTGCAATATCTTCACAAGAACCACAATGTAAAGCATCATAATGTGTGCACACCAAAACAGCCACCACAAGATAGCAATCATGGACCAATCATAAAAGAACAAGAAACTACATAAAATGGAAGAATAAAACGAGAACATGGAACAAGTGAAATGCATACCGCATAAACATGTTTGGCACCAACTTTAGCACAAAAGAGTGACAGAATTCCTGTCCCAGCTCCCACATCAAGGACCACTTTATCCTTGAAAAGAAAGGAATTTTTATAGATTACATTTTGGTAAGTCTTAGTTCTTACCACATCCTTCAACATCTCCTGTTACCAAATAAAAATTAACAATTAGAACAACGCAAAAAAATCATCTTTAAGCAAAACTGTATCAATAAAAGATACCAAACAAGAATAACAATATGAACAAAGATGGATACTTACTTCGTGAATACCTGCAAAAGCATCAACAAAACAAAGGTGGATAATTAGCTTCTACAAGTAACCTCAGATCAAGCAAGATGCATATAAATCGTAATAAATTTGAAATTCAAGCAAGTACTACTTTTTTTTACATTACAAGGATTCTTCAATTACTTCTAATCTCCAACAAAGAATATAAGCATAACACTAGTTCACAAATAAAGACTGAACTGGCTCTTCCATAAAGAAAAACAACTTTGCTCATTCGTCACCTGTATTAAATCCATATTCCACCAAATGGTTTCAAATTATTATTTACTGGCAAGATATGAAAAAAGCTAAAGCTAGGAATAAATATGGAGATTTTGAGTTTTTGCAAGACTCCAAAATCTGACTTTGGAACTTCAAATAGACAAATACTTTATGCAAAACTCAACAGATATAAATTACCCAAATCAGTTTTTGGCAAAGAACAGGAAAAAACAACACCTGAATTTTCCTCCTTTCTACTCAAAAGCTTCACAGGAATAAGAAAAAAGAGATTTTTCAACTTACAGAAGTTCAATTTAAGTAGATTCTAGCTAAAATTTAAACAAATCGAAACATACACATGGTACAAATCACTGACCAAAATGTGAGTATGAGTCGAAATAATAGTCAGCGCTGGTCTTATCACCGCCGACCGTCGAGTCATCCACGGCGGCAGCGGTGGTGGGGTCACACATGGAGATATCTTCATCCACTTCAAGATTATTCGAGCTTTCCGTAACAGTTTCATCTTGTACTACTTGTTCATCATCATCCTCGTACTGAAATTTGATCTTTGATGGATTTTTTCCATAGCTTGCTGAATTCTCAATCTCATTATTGCTTACAGAATCCATTGGAGCTCTCTTCTAAGTTTTAGGGTTTAAGAACAAAGGGGTGGCTCCAAATTAGGGTTTATGAGAGCTAATATATAAATGTATAGTACCTCTTTGGGAATTTTATAAAGTATTTTTTTACTCGTTTATTAAAATAATAATAATAACAATCGAAATTTGATAAATATATATTTGGTATATTTAAAGTATATTTGGTATATTTAACTTTAAAAGAAATCTTATATAGTGAGAAGAAAAATCAAACTTTTGGCTATCTTTTATGAAAACTTTTTGAGAAAATGACATAAATTATCCCTAAACTATCATAACAGGTCTAAAATGATTCTTTAACTATATACGTGACAGATATAGTCCTTTAACTATTCACCCTTTTGTCAAGTTTGGTCTATATCACTTTTTATAAAAAGTGTTAATAAACACCTTTGAACATACATGATTGAATTCTGTCTCCTTTCGTTTTTCCACCTCTTTTCTCCATTATCTCATTGTTTCCTCACTTTCCTTTTTTCAATTCTTCTCCATGGACTTTCTTTTTTTGTCATTTCCTTTGTCTAGGGGTGTTCACGGTTTGGATAAAAATCGATCCAAACCGATAAAATAAAACCAATTTTATTTGGGTTTGATTTGGTTTGGTTTTAGATTTTTGAAAACCGATAGTATTTGGTTTGGTTATGGTTTTATTCGAAAAAACCCGAAGAAATAACCGAACCGAACCGATGAATTATATACATATATTT